ATACGTACTATGATTGGTACAAAAGATAACATGCTCTTCTTTCGCTTATATATATTTAGGAGACAGACAACTGACTATAACAGCCTAGATGAGCTGGCCACATAGTCCACATTAACTGTGTATCGACAGTTTTTTTAGCTTTGCGAAGCCCCTTAGGGGGCTACGAAACCTGCAGGTCCATAGGTTATCCATGGAACTGGTCGTGAACATCTACCGCTGCTCTGCCGTGTTCAGCACTGATCAAATTAACGTGGCTACCTGGCTCTGTGGCGATTTCGCTTTTACGTTCTTTGAACTACTTGTCCTTTTTGTCCTGTCGTGCTCCATAGTCGTCTACGTTCCACATAGTTCTCTCTTTTTTGCTACCGTTCTCCTTAGCATTCGTTTGCTCCGGCTTTCTTCGGCTTCAGCATGCTTCGAACTTCGTAGGCGTCGTAGACCAATCTACACCAGGCGCCCCATATAACCTCCCGTTCGGTATTGCTTTCTAGGCGAACTCCTACATCATATCTTGCTGCCTTACCTTCTTCGCCTGACTCATCTGGCCCCACTCATACGTCACTTTTCTTCGTTCCTTTCCTTCATCTCGGTTATGCAGCTTTTATCAAATATTTCTAACAAAATCTACTTTGCTCTTCGCGACGTCGCCACCGCTTGGTGTCATAACGGTTACGGATGCCATGCGGTATTACACTTGCAGGCAGTGCGTGCGTTATTTCATCGGTTCGTTGTAATTCGTCGGAATTATACGATGATCTGAGGCAACGGGAGCAACACGGGCAACCCTGGAAAAGTTTGGCACTGTCGGCTCCATCGTTATCAGGAAACCACTTTTATATAAGGAGCCGTAGTCAATGCTTGTACCTACGAAGACGATCTAGAACCTACTTGACCTATGCTACTAGCTACTTGTGGGCCACTTCCAGCCAATACAGAGACGGCGGCACCGCTAACAGCGCCTCCCTATGCCGTTCTCGTTCAGTGCAATAGATATACCAGTTGTGATAAAAAGTTGAGACTTGAACCTAAGGAGCATGGCCAGAAGTCTGTTGGCTGGCTTGCATTCGATCTTGAGTCAAAGGAATTAACCTCCTGATGAGTGTGTCTTAAGCAATCGACTCTTTTTTTTTTTTCTACTTTCCTGTGCTTTACAATATACTAGGTAATTTACTCGTTATACTCGTTTTGCAGAGCGTGCCAATGTACTTATGCGTTATTGTATAAGCATTGATTTAATAGATCTTGAACGCGTTGTATTGAAGGACTGGCTTCTATCTTATGTCGTATGCCTGCTCCACGTTCATAAGGATGCTGATCTACGTGAAAAAAAATAGTTGTAGGCTCCTGAAGCTATTATTATTTCGGTTTTCATGAGTACCACGAAAGTATCTAGTTGCTTTCATACCATAGACTTGCTTCGTTATGAAAACGGAGCAGCGACGCCAACAATAGATATTCAACGCGTATTCATCGGTGGCCAACCATTGTTAATCAGAGCGTACTGGGCTCGTACAAAGAATATAAGGTCCATTAATAATATCCTGCAGGCAAATGCAGGTCCCACTGTGCAGCTTCAGATTCTTATATAGTTTATAAGGGCCAATCAATTTCACAGTTTTACATATCGTGGCATCAACACCTCAAGGCAGTCATAGAACCTTTCTTGGACTAGTAAATTGACTATTATTACTACCGTTGATCATATGCTCTAGAGATAACTACTTCATAGCTAGATATACAGTTATTTTCCGTGCATCAGTATATCCTCTCAAAGAGTAGTGGTGTCTCCTTTGATATTTTCTTCATTGCCCAGCAATGATGGCAGACACTACTGTGAATTTTCTTCATCATAACAAAGAAAATTTCATACCAGCCTGTTAGAGACAACTAGAGCACGCTGGTTCGAAATGGCGCAGTCTCGTTCTTACTGCTATATCTAGTCTTTGTGAAACGGGCACCTTTCGATTGGACAGGGAAGCTTCTAGATTTGCCGGTCAGATCTGCCCATATCCGTAGATCTATGTACGCGCATAACTAACCTAATTAATAAGCGAAAAAACTCAAAACAATAACTTCGTGTTTTCGAACAGTGCCTTAACTTCTGACATCTGCTGTGTCAGACGGTAACTTGAGTAGGGAGAGAGCGATGTTGCGTGTTTATAACGATATTAAACTAAAACTTATTCTCTGTTTAATTCCCGTGTGCTTACCTGACTCTTCATCGTCGAATGGCCAAGCACATCGTATTGACGTGTTTTGGTCTTGACATTTGTGCCATGCTGTCCTATAGATGTAACCTTGTTATGCCTACATAAATGCCACTAAGGCAAATAATGGAGTGCTCAGCGTTACTGCTAGCTGCTGCTGCTGCTGCTGCTGTTGCCAGTACCGCACGTGGGCACGTAATTGTACGGAGCTCAGCAATAAGCTGGCTATATCCAGCTGTACCAGGCGGCAACTTGTAACGTGACAACCCTATTCACATTCGTTGATGTTCGATGTGTATAATATTTGTTGAGAAAAATTCGGCACAACACCTAACAGACGAACGCTACTTAAGCGCACAGAAACTAGAGTCGCTCAGGTAGGCAAGTTACTGTATGTTCTGGGTTCTTTATTAAGCGGAGCCGTTAATACTGGCTCACATGAAACCATTTTCGATTCACGTTTCGAAAACCAGGTAACCAGGGGTAAAACCTCTCAACTGCGACGCTTTTCAATGTCCAAGGTTTCCTATGGAGTTCTGGGGACCACATCGGAATGTGCTAGGGGTGTCACTTGAATGTGAAGTTTATGAGACTATAGATAAGGAGCTGAGAAAAGCAGAAACCATCACCTTGATCCTCATTTCGGCATTTGACAGAGATATCGTTTAGAGCCGGTACAATGGCGTGTTGTTTTTTAGTCGTTTGGTGCAAAATTCAGCTTTCTATAAATTGTTCCATTTTTGCAGTCGATAATAATTCAGTGGTCTGGCGATACATGACAGTATTGGCTAGGTGGCGCTGGCTAGGTGGCGCTGGCTAGGTGGCGCTGGATGCACAATCTTATTTTTATAACAATCGGTTCTATGGGAAAGGTCTGAAAGCGTTTTCAGATGCTCCATGCTCCATAAAATCATTGCTATAATCGTACCAAGAAGGTGCGTCGTCTTGACCTCGATGTCCAATTGGGGTTGTTTCGGGTTTTATCGTCATTTGTCCATGCTACTGGCCCATAGTGGTATGTAGGGGATTTCTCTGCTTCACTCAGAAAAAGATCGTATTGAACAGTTCACTGAATGCAATTTTTCACGGCACGAATGCTTAAAATCTATGGAACAACAATTTTAATTTATGTCACTTTGTTAAAAGGGTAGCCTCTGTTCTCTCGATCCAATTGAAAGATAATGGTAAGTTAAACCAACTCCAATATACATTAGGATAATGTAACGATTTCCATGACTCGAGGTCATTTACGTGTTTCGACTCTTGACCTGTACTAAAGTTATGCTTAGCATTAAAGGCCTTGATGACGTCTGTTCGAGCTGAATTAGAGGCACTGCTTTAGAGTCCTACGAATTTAAGGTCTGCAGTACCTATTCATAAAGTCTGCGTTACAAGCTTTTCAGTTTTTCTTTCTAGGTTAGTTTTAATAGAAATTTTCATCAGTTACATCAGGTTACAGATAGCCGCGTACCGAGCCTCCTTTAATCTAAACTCACATAGAAGTAAGATTAATTCGTTGTTAGTTCAGCTATGACAATAGGACCGTAGTTCGCATTTTCTTTTTAGGATAAGAGAAAGTGTACCGGAATTTAGTTATCCTCTCTTAATGCTACAGGGTTATTACGTGAGCAACAAATAGAAGAAGTGACTTAAACTTGTAGAGAACTGCAAATGTTACGATGCCGTAGCTCGAGGAAAGCCAAGAAAAATTATCGTCTATGATAATGTGCAGCAGCGTAAAAACCAGACACCGCCGGAGGCCTTCCCCTACGGGGCATTTAGCAATGGATGCTCCTAGCAGGGTTATAGGCCACTTGGCTGGCAGGATTATTATAAGATTAGCACATCCGAATCGCTTGTCTCGTCACTGCAATTAATATTGCTCAGAGCCATATTATGAATGAAATCTTAATATCTCAATTGTACCTCTAGTAATATTGTTGTATAAGATTTATGCATGCACAATTCGAAGCCCTGTCGCTAGTATTTGGCTGTAAACAAATGTCCTTAACACTGTTTTTGCCCACTCATACGACTAATACTGGTTAATAGTTTGACGCGTGGCAGACGTTATTGTCCTTTCGACAAGGAAAAATATCTGTAGTTACGTTCTTCTTAATATATCCGATAAGATGTGTTTATGACACACGGGTTGAATACAAGCGATAGAGGCACCTATGCGGAGGCGTAACTGTCTGCTTTCAAAATAAATAGCATAATATGAATCAATATTCTCAAGCAGATGAATGTAATGTTGACTTATCCTCGGACGTCCTGAAGGCGGTTCGGTCTGTTCTAGTTCTCGTACCTATTGCAACGCCTACCAAAAACTTCGAAGGTACGCAGCTCAAGAGCTAGCATACGGGTACTGCGTATGTAGTTAGCTAAAAACATTGCAACAACGTGATATGTTGAACCTGAATGACCCTATAAGTATTCAACAGTTTTACTTTAAGCGAAAAATCACATATTGCGCTGCCATCGAGGAAGCACAATGTGTCTTCCAGAAAAATTCAAATGCCTCTTACAGCGAAAACGACATGGTATAATAGCTGCGTTTTAATGTGATAGATCAGTTGAGGTTTTAATGCATACAATATATTTCTATAGAAGTGTAGTAAGTTCATGGTCTAAGCACCATTCAAGCATGTCCTATAGGCAAATGAACACAGAGATTACTTCAAACGTTTACACATGCGGTGGCCCATAAGATCACAACAGGTGAGCAGTATACTTCAGCTGCTTTGGACATAAAGAAGCTGCCATTGCTTGAGAACAGTTTAATCGTATAAAGAATACAGCCTAATTAAAAATATAACTTGAACTTGTGACGAAATTATGAAACTGTTTGATTGAATTTTGTGCGCCAACCTCAGACATACGATTCAAGGTTACCCTTTTTTTGTTTTCTTTATTTCGTTGTGGTCGCTTTGCTTTAACAGAGAGAAGCTTGCGAGGATTGTCTGAGGCGGTCCTCAGAAATACGTACTGTTAGTGAGCATACACTTTACAGATAGTCACATTGAAACAAACATAAAATTTTGTTGTCAACAAATAACATTTCCGCCTGATGTTGTACGTTCATGAGCAATACGTTTCGGGTTCAGGTTTACCCGTGATAATGACATGGCACAGTAGCTATAGCTATAGCTATAGAGACAATGTGTCGTGTGTTGTATTGACCGTTATGTGGATGTATGCGCTTCGACCGAACTTCTAACAGATCCTAAATATAATTCTATCCTGAAATGAATCTTCTGCATTTTCAATAAATCTAACTCGACTCGGAAAAACCATATCGATCGCTGCTTTGTTCGGTGTATGCGGCTCGCGTATTTTGTCATCGTGCCTGTCGATGCTTCTAATTTTCATAAGTGACATTGACACGTTTCCTTTCAGCGTTTCCCGGTGGATCCTATTAAGCAACGTAGCAGCTACTCGGTTATTTTCTATCCTTAGACATAGAGATTTTTTGAATCACCGTTTTTGATTTGGGTTTGTGGAAAACAAATTTTGCCCAATAACTAACTGCCGGTACAGTGAACACAGAAGCTCATCAGGGTGTTATGGGGATCCCGTGTTTACCTTTGTCAGTATTTATAAAGAGTCCTTAATTGTCTTGGCACAACTGGCTTCATTACTTCTTACCCCAACTGTTTTCCTATAGTCTAGAGATATCCGAAGTGTCACGGAGAGCCTTTAAATAGGAAATTTTCAAATCAGGGCGGCCATTATTTTTCATACGAGTAAAATAGCAAACATAACTTGTAATCATGTCCGTAATTTAAATTAACACAAGTAATAAAAGAAAAAACAACAAAACATTATTCAAAACCGTCGTATAAGATGATTCTATCTGTGAAGGGAACAGAACCATTATTCCCAAAAAACCGATTTATAATGCCGCAGTTGGCAGTTAATAAAATTATAAACCGTAAATATGTAACCGATTAGATGAGGCATATCGGCGTTTGTCGTCAAGTGCCTTCGAACAATTCAATCAACAACATATGGTTACACCGGTGGCAACTTACACGACATTCCATTATACGACAAATCTATGTAATGTGTAGAAACGTGGGTACCAGTTTTGGGCGGAAAAGGATTACCAATTCGAATCGCAGAGAGCTAAAATGGCCGACCGCCGACCCCTACTTCTGTTCGATATTTCATTTGTTAGATCCCTTTACACAGGATGCTACAAGAGCATAGAACACACACTGGCACAAATGCGTATTAAGTGCTGCCAAACATCCAGCACCGTCGTTAGCCATTGTATAAGAATATATATAAACACTTTCATGGAAAGACTTTTCTACTTAGCGTTCAAGCAACGAATGATGATCCTACACAATATCAGAGTATTTCAACAGACAATAAGATCGGCGTTTCATTGGATCTATAATATACTTGTAGGGTAAAATTCGAAAAAACCTTACCTTTAAAAATAAAAGAGATTTTGCTGTAAAACATGTTTTTCCCTTCTTTTTTTTTTTTTTTTTTTTTATAGAATTGGAACTTGTTTCCCAGTGAGCAGGCACACACGCACACACTCCGTGAGATTCGGTAAAAGTGACCTTTAGTTAAAGTACCGTCTTGGACTAAGACGGTCATCTTTTTGGTGGTGAACAGTTGTTAGCAACCTAACACCGTCCAGGTTTTGGCGCTATGCTCGTTAGTTTTAGTACGTGCTGCGTAAGTTCCCGTAATCAACATTTCCTGGTTGCACGTTCGGTGCTTGTTTCCCGAAGAGCTTCAGCGCCTCGATATAGCTTCCACTAGAAACAGATTCGTATAGACAGTGACAATGCAACTATTATTGTTACCGCTCTGCTGGAAAGGTAACGCAAGTCAGCAACGAGCGACGCGCCTATTGCAGGCTTTCATTATTCTATACGTTCGTGTCCTGCAAGATATTGAAGTTCAATACATTCCGATGCTGTTTGATCACAATGCACAGCAGTGAAATACAAAAAAATGGCTTACACTCTCACAATTAACTGCGAATTAGAATGTCCACAGAATATAGGTAACTTATAGGTTACGTATACATCTTTTGTGGACATTTTCGTTCCGCTCGCATAACCAGAAAAGGCGAACGAAGTTTGACCGACCGAAGACCTATGTGAAGCTGCTTCAAGATGCGGTACTCAATTCTCCCCAAAATCAGTTGCTTAGCATCATTTGTGCGCTGTTGGTCTTTACGTAGTTGCGAATATGTCTGCCTTATGACAGCCAACATTTAACGTCGCTTCAGTAGCGCACCGATAGAATTCTGGATTAAATATTTTCTTCAACAAACACATATATTTAGTGCTCATCATTCTGTTGAGACACTATATGGCCGTTTAAATTCAATGCAATTAATGTAAGTCCTATTTAAAAGGCTCATAATGCTAAGCAGATTATCTAAATACAGGCTGGCTGGCTGGCTGGCTGGCTGGCTAGCTAGCAGACAGGCCATACGTCTGCGTCCTTGCTGGAGGCATATATTTAGTCACGTTCAGCTGCCTGTATCAGCCTAACTCCTAAACCTCGAATGGATTCCCTCTTCCCCACGTTCATTAGGAACTCTGGCTCTAATCGGCCTGCACATAGTTGTCATAATAATTATTTGTTTATAGAATTCTATTTCCATTTAGGACTGGCATAATACAGTCTAACAGGGCCGAGTATATGTTTCGGCGTCGCGTATTAATAACTTAGGCCGTTTGTGCGATGGACAACTATATATTCTCAAAATGTCTCGTCTTCAACTCACATATAATTAATAGGATCGGTTGTCATCATCCACTTTTTGATCAAAATCTTAAATCAAGGATATCATGTCTACCGATTTAGCCGTTTTATGCAGACTTTTTTCCCCACTATCGCACATGAACCGACCAAAGCATTGATAAGAATTATTTAACAATTTTTTTTTTGTCATTTTAATGGTATGATCGAACGTAATCGAAGTTTAACACAGACGCTCACACGGTAGATATAGATCCCAGGCTGTTGAATGGGGATAACGTGACTCTATACGAATAACTTGTCCTTAGACAGATTGCAAGTTTAGGAACAGTTCGCACTAGAATTAGCGAGCATTACTTCTCACAGAGTTTATGTACTAGTACGTAAATATATGGAAATTTAGCATTGTAACAGAGAAGCGTTAACTGGATTTTTCTAACATCAACTTTCATTCAGTACCTAGTCAAAGCATAAAAATACATTTTAATGCCAGCTACATAAGTGCCGAGTCCATCGTTTGAAAAGTTATCTTTGTCAGCGGCAAATCCATGCAAATGACCCTTTGCCCCAAGAATTTCCCATCGCCCTCTTTGGATGTTGAAGCGATCAAAAAAAAAATGCCAGAACGAGGCGATTCATTATTTTGTTTCTTCCAAGTAAAGAAAATGGTCCACTCGATTTCATGTCGGGCAGTTCGTGCTTATGTATGACTGCTAGCGTAACACTCGGGCCAATGCGCGCAGACCTATCTCTCTGATCAATCTGGCTAATCCAATATTAAAATGTCGTATCGCCAGTTCATAACTCAACGTTGGTGAAAACGATTACCAGAAATCGATTGCCAGCAGAATAGAAAGTTATCAAAGAAATCATTAGTAAGTTTAATAGCTGTATAGTCGTCTGCCTGCTGTGCCGTTTTATAGCTCCGTTGGGGAAACCCTAGGTAAGTCTTAGCAAACTCACCCCGCTCACACTCATAGTGAAAACGAATCCTTGATGCCATATCAAAAAGCTGATTCTGAGCACTGGCCTGCTTCAAAAAAAAAATAGATAAAGAGTGCCCGTAAAACCGGCAGAACATTATACAACGGGTATTGCGCGCGATATAGCTTTTTGCCAGACCGGAACAGCAACTAAGAGGAGAGCGGCAAAAAGTAAACAAGGAGTACATAAGAAATTATAGAAACTCTACTTGCTTATACTGTTTAAGATAATGGAACTCTAAAAATGCCTGCAATTTTTGAAAAAATGGCATATTTTTGAGGATAAACTACGTTCTCTAGAGTGCTTGCTGTATTAATATCGAGCCAAATTATTAGTATATATATATATATATATATATTAACCTGGGTGTTAAATTGTAGGAAATTGACCTTAGAACAAGGTTTCTCGAAGACTGCCTGTGAGGACCATTGCTTATAATAATGCAGATCAAACAGACGTAATCTTGAAGCTGATTTTTAATGTAAAAACGGGCAATGGGCGCCGTAGTTTTTTGCCGAAACAAGTACCTTAATAAAAAGTTACAATAGAAGGTTTACAGATGTGTCCGGGACAATGTGAGCAAGGCGTTTGAAATTATTTTGTGTGTTAAGCGCATTCTAAATCTGTTTCGACGTAAACATTGAGAATATGAACAACAAGGTGAAATTTTACAACAAAATGCTAGCTACCTGTCATCTTTCTTGACCCTAGATTAGTACTTTAGTTTTAAAGTTACCGAAAAAAGTTGAGAAACGACATCGTTCTATACTAAAGATCGATATGATGTCGTGTTGTGTGATGCTCTACGAGCGTTCAACTGAAGCGTTGACAGGCGTGAAGCGATTCAGATCGTTCGCGCACGACGAGCTGGCGGACTACGTGGGTGGATGAATGTATTCGTCTGACCGCAGCAGTCACGAAGCGTCAGCAATAACCTGACGATGCATGACAACAAGCGCTGCCAGGTTGTTATATCACGGCTTTCACAGAAAAATTTCTGAATACAGCTAACCCTATTCATGAAAAACTACATAAAATGATAAGGACCGAAGGCTCAGCTAGAAATCTACAAGCAGTTATAGACATAAATAAATATCCGATCGGTGGAGTAGTTGATAAAGGGTGAACTTGTTTAGATCTAAGTAATTTTTAAAATATCAGTACTGAACATATATATGCAGTCCCAAGTGGTTTCCAACACTTGCTATTAATTCGATCCCATCTGTAAGCGACCTCAGTAGCTTAACTGGACGTTACACTACAAGAGAAACGAATCTTATTAGAGTTCTGAAGCATCTACTATCTACAAACCTCTAATGAGACTGACGTAGGTTGAAATTAATTTGTGGATTCGTATGTTTGTCGGTCTCAGGTCACGCTAGGTAGCCAGAACCAAGCCAACTCGGCGTCCTGTACACTCCAGTAGGTCTCTGTAGGTCACTTGGATTAAGGATATGCTGCGAGATTCCCACGCTGCACCGCAATTGCAAAAAACAAGCACATTTTACTCTCGATATAGTAACTATTTAATCACTTCGAAGATAGTTAAATTCAGTGACAGATTAGTAGAAGATCAGGTTAATGAATGATTTTCGTTTCTAACACGATTAACGACGATAACTTGAATAATGCACAACTAAAATAAGCTACCCTTATGTATGTCCATACGGCAGTAATAATAATTTCATAATTATTTTAAAAAAATGCTTAGCCAGGGCTGCAGATCGTGTAGTTAGTACAATAAGCGTACTTAATTTGTGCTTGTCACATAACAAAGATGGTTCCTATATGTATTTTGCCATATGTACTCCGCCAGCTCTTTGTTTCTTTCAATTGTTTTTTACTACTCATCCAGTCTCCTTTTACTGCTGCAGCAGAAGGACCAATAGGCCTGCCGGCCTTAGCGCATGTAGCAACGTAGTGACCTGTGTGTCAGTGGATGTCCTGCTAGTGTTTATCATAGGCCGATGACTGGCTGGGTGAGTGGGTGATGAATAGCTGTGATAGACATCGCCACTAACACGCATTGTTTAACTAGTAGAACGTGTCTTCCGTCGCGCCGTTGTCTTCACAGTCGTGTCCTTACTTCTGTTCCACCTCATATCTAACGCCGTCTTTCCCGGGAGTCCCGTTCTGGAAAACACCATCCCACCATTACGGACTCCCCTTGACAGTTCGTCGACAGCTGGGTTCACCACTATTCGTCTGCTTTTTCACTTAGAGTTCGAGGAGGGCAGCAGTGTGAGACCAAGAGCAGCTCCTCTTTTCGCTAACGCGGCTTCCTGCTATCTGGCTACTTGAATTAGCTTTTGTTAGTCATCCGCTGTCGCTTTAATAGCTGTCATTCCATCGGCCGTCCCCGCATGGCAGTCACTGTCCATCGTCTGTATTCCATCGGAGTCGTTGTCGTCGTCCAGCGAAGAGTGCGCCCGTTTCCACTACTACTAGTATTTCTCTGCGCTTCTCCTTTCCACATTCCACGCTGAAATTGCTACCCGACCGTTCTATCCTTTTTCGCAGTCATCAGTCCCAAGAGGAGACTGGCGGCGACGTATCCCGTGCCTCACGTACCTACCTTTTGCTTAAACAACTGCGGCTGGACTTTCCTTATGGTCCGCGTTATAGACTAATAGGAATTTTCGACGAACGTGTCGCATCAAAGACGTTTGGACCGACTGATTGGTCGAGCTACCATGCGTTTGGCGACTGCGAGCCTGTTGAAACAGCGACACCGTTAACAACGGCAAAAATACGAAGATATACTGCCCAGTTTGCTCGCTCGTTCGCGTCTGTCTAGGTCAGATTACAATCAATTATTTAATAACGCGCTGAGCAATTTGGGAAGAAATCATACTACAACCTACTACATCAATCTACAAGTCTTGCAAAACAAAGGGCCGCTAATAGGCACAGCAAATTTGTTCCGTTAGGCAAGCAACGAAGAGAGCCAAAACCTTGTAAGTGTCAGTATATTTGCAAGGCATATGCATCGGTTATTACGTAAGTCTGGCGGGCAGCAGACCGACACGAGAAATGGCTACTTCTGAAATTGTATTGACATTGGAAGTTACAAGGATAGCAGAGGAGAAGGAGCAACGATAGTTAACGGACCGGGTACAGCCTAGACCCAAATCCGAAAACCTCATTGAATGACGGACACTCTTGTGTGGACCAAGACCTTAAATTGTCCTACTGTCATAAGGCGAAGCTGGTAATGGCTCGTCACTTTGTCAGTCTAACAGTAGCAGCATAGGGGCATTGCCGTTGTTGTCGTAGTATACGACTGCTGATGAGGGTCAATATTCCACCTTACCGCCCTGGCAGCTTAATAATAGTCGCATTTTAGTGCCACTTGCTCTATCAGTAGTAAAACGACTCCGTAGGCCTAGACGCACAGACGGCTTGCTATCACTATTGCCTTCACCACTGCTGCTTCGTCGTTGCCATGTCTGGGGGAGGAGAGACGAATAGCGACGGTGGGGACCAGCCATAACTGCGTCAGCAATAACCACCGATTTATGCCTGCTACTGGTAAAGCCAGAGCGGAGTAGCCCATTCTGGCCTACTAATTGGCCTTTTCTATTTAGACCACACCAACACGCTAAAGAGATATCGACGCTAACGCCAACTGTATGTCTGGGAATAGAAATGCGCGAGAAAAGCAGACAATCGGGAGGTAGTGTACCGGATGGAAGTGAAGATACCGCACGACGGATAACATCAAGAAGTAAGAACAAACGAAGAGAAAGAGATGATGGACAAGATTATAATGCAGAAGCTATTATATTGGCTAATTACTGGCTGTCGAACAATGGACTGGCCATTATATACATCCCGCTAGTATTCCCGCAATTACCGTGAGTGCCTGCTGGTACCGCTGCCGTTCACTCCATCAGGCCCAGAAAAAAACCCCACCATACCGACATTCAGGCAGTGCAGGGCCAGCTGGCACAATGTTGCAGACTTACCGTACAGAATGGGAAGAAAGCCGGAAGCGCAAATATTTAGATAGATTGTACACCCATATAAATTTATGTACATAACAGCAAGATGGGCAGGATTAGCACAGGCCATGTCTCGGAGATGTTTAATTTTCAGCAATGTCATGGTCCGCAACTTCAGGTACGCCTTCTAGTTAACTTTTCCCTTTACGTGGCGTTACGGAGCCCGCTGTTTAATAACAATCGGGCCAAATCACCGTCTGCTTCAAATATCCCTATTCGAAGAGGCGGATACTGTTGAAAGAGATAAACCAACGATTCGCAGACAAACATCAAGGAAAGGGAGAGAGAGAACGCAAAGAAAAAAAGAAGCTTAGATGACTGTAAAAGGCTAGCCGGTGCTTATCAGTGCATACATAAATATAGTTACGAGGTAGATAAATCTGGAGAAAGAGTGGATTGTAAAGAAGCCGGAAGCTTTGACCTGCCGGTATCGTTGTCGTCGTCTCATAGTTGAAATTCGATTTTGATGTTTTTACTGCTGTTCATGATTAAGATCGTACTGCTACTGATAACGATCGACAACAAATTTCGTTATCCAACAGATATTAGAGACAGCAGTCTCCGTGAAGATATGAAGTATTAGCCCTTGTTATTTCTGCATACGTGTCTTTATGAAACGAAAACAGCGGCCTGCAGAGACAATGGCATCTGCTGGTATTTGAGTTCCTATAAACTAGTCGCTGATTCGTCGACTGGTTAAACTCAGTTGATTGAGCTGGTTGTGCATTTTCCCTGACTGTATGAACACGTCCTCATCACTCGCACACAAATGAAACGCGCTATTTCTGCGCGCGCGCTGAGATCAAAACCATTGCTTAGGGCCGAGTCCTTATGATAGCCTACTGAGTAACGGATTTGGCCTAGGATTAGTAAGGCTCGAATCCGCCATCTGGGAGCCAACCATTTGATGAAATGCTTTACGGCAATGCCGAACGTAAAACTCGAAACATTTAGATTTGGGGCAAGCTGGTCTGAATCCGATAACAAACATGTATTCTAGACACGTGTGTCAATAAAATAAGGTTTTAGGTAAATCCTCTAAACTTAATATTCAGTGCCTACCACTAGATAAATTTGAAGTTAAGCTAAAAGATTATGGGGATTTTTCGATGTGAAAATAGGCGGGTGTATTCATAATAGCTTCTCACCTTAATCTCAAAACCTTACTTTGTGTTTTTTATTACTAATGAAACTCTTGTTATGAATTTAAAACCTAGTAAGGGTATCTTAATACATAATCATTAGTACGTACGCTAACTTCCTATATCTCTCTTCTTATTATAAAATGTCTGATCTTCGTAGAAAGCGCTTTTCGAGACGGACCCTTCTCACATATTTGCCCGCGAGCAATTTGCTTAACGCTCTTTTCCTTACAACAGATAATGAGAAGATTCTTGTTTCTGAAAGTTTTTTGGAATACTGTCGAGAGTAAAGCCGAACATGGCGCCAGGGTAAAGGAAGATGGGCAAGGCCGAATTCTCGTCTATTTATCGTCCAATACGGAAGGACAAAAATACAAGAAAAGAGTCGGCGTATTGATCCAGCGGTCTCATACACAGTGATTAACCAGGACCACTTAAACTCAGACTTCGGATAAATTAAAACCACATGCTTTGGACAACGGAGGGGGCATTCTTAATAACGGTGCGTACATGAAGATTAGTCAGCAAACTCACTGTGTTAAACAAAGGTAATTCTTTGTACTAATGTTGCTTAGCTCTTAGTTCTATAGTATACTTTGAGCGAAATGCTTTAAATTAACATAAAAAGTGTGACTCCTTAATACGACACAACAGCATATGATTCATCTGTTTAACGGAATAGTGTTTGCCGTACATAGGCTGCTCAACCGCAGATATTCTCAGAGACCGTTGTAAGTTGTGGACTTTCCAAAAACTTGCTTGTTACATTTGATGAAAAATATTTTCTAAAAAAGGACGGCTTTCGCTTGTTTTTTTTTTGCGCAAAGGCAGATTTTACGCATCAGTTAAGGTTAAAATAGGCGGTATCGTAATAGGTGGTCCTTATTCATCTCACATCTTATGAGCCATCCATTTTATCTATTTTTAGTGAAAATTTGTTCCAAATTGTCGCAATTCTTCTTTAGCTGGATCACAGGAGCTACTTAAACGTTAGTAATCACATTACGTAAGTACGAGACAGGCCAATATATTTACGTTTCGGCTGTGCCAGTATAAAACATTTCGAGTGACGCGTTGATCCCTTACCTTCAATAATGTAGTGATACGTACCATGTATACAGTTTGCTCGCAGACAAATCTTGTTTGCAACGATACATATCGTACATAGACACTGGCGTATTCTGTTTAGTGGAGTTCATAGCTTTGGTACTGACAATTATCCTCAATTAAATTATTAACTATATAAACAAATGATTGGCCTAAATATTTTAAAATTCACATCCTAAGGCTTTCGACATGCGACTTATTCGCCAGACTTGACTTCTTCCAACGGCCACTTACTCAGCTCGATACAGAACGCGTTAGTCGGAAAGCGGTTTTTGGAAAGGCAAGAAATCAGAAGAGGAGGATCCTTAACTATTTTGTCTCAAAAGGTTGTCATTGAATCCTATAGAGAAGGCTATGCCAATCGCTTGACAAATAGCAGAGGACTGTAGACCATAACGGCAATAACGTTATGATGATTACGTTAGATATCCCTCAAGAAGGCTAAAAATTTGTTGGCACATCTAATAGGTATCATGGAATATTTTTTATTGTAACAAAAAGTTAACTTAATTGTAGCCGCTAGCAGAAAGGCTCAATCTAAATGTAAGGTTCCAGCTAAACTTCCAAGGTCAAAGATGCCAGTCATCAAAAAAATGCACTTTAATGATAATATATATATATATAAACAAGGGGAAGAGTCTCTAAAAGGGGATACGTTTTTGGTCAACGCTCAGTGTCGTTGTTGTTGATATTGACGATGTTTGAGGTGATACAGGAGGCAATGGTGTTCCTTTTCATCAGATTGCTTTTACTTGTTGCTACTCGATTACAGCTTGCTGCCCTGATTCGCGGTTGTTCCTGGGCGGATAAAGTTTTTGTTCACACACGAAAACACAACGAAGACATTAGCAGGGAAGGTTGCCCTTATCGTGGCGTATTGACTGGGTAGCTAGCTGTGCGGTCTCACTTAACACAGAAAAAACCAACACCCTAGCGCAATGCTCAATATAAAGTAAGCCACTTTCCATCAACTGTGTCTGGAAAAGGGGCCTTGGTACAATAAACATAAGCTATCAAATTTTGTATCATAAATTTCAATTTCAACAGTTAGCGGTCGGATATAGGGCCAGTTGCGCATGAACGTAAATGTACCAGCTTATGGAACGACGGTTTCCGGCGCGGCGAAACTAGTTGAACGGTGGATTCTAAGAAAAAAAAAACGACTAGGAGAAAATCTGCTAATCTCTTTCAAACGATGAAATTCTGCATCTTTCAGGTATAAATAACATTATATTACTCTAAATATTAATCCAAGTATTAGTGGCAGCGTTCGACATATTACATCAATTTACCAAGGCATTTTCCGACGTAGTTTGGTACGTTTAGAGGTGAGCACGCGTGCTATTGTCGAGGTGAGGCCGGCTCTTTTTCCGTCCTTTTAGATGACTGTTACTGCTTAAGGCATGTTGATAGCAAAGCTGAACGAAAAGAGACGAAATGATGTCGGATTTGCATACACGT